CATGGAGGAGCAGGACCCTGAACTCTCTCTCTCTCTCATCAGTGTGGCATTAGACCATGTGGTTTTATTATTTAGAGTATGGTTGCACGACGTGTGGATAAAGAGAGCGCCGCACCAGCTGACTGTGTCATTCCTTTTGGTGCAACCTTGAGGTCAATATAAGTGCAAATGACTCGGGACGCGAGGATAGGCTGGAGATAGGCTGGAGATAGGCTGGACCTTGTGTGCTCTCTGCTCTGTGGTATTGGACAGCCACAGTGTTTTCCCCCTCTCTCTACTGTATATCTCTGCCTCTCCCCCCTCACTCTTCTCTCTTTCCCGACCTCCCGGGATAATAGGCAATAGACTTGTTTACTCCACCTTTCACCACATCGGCTGCTGAATGATACATTTGTGGATGAGCAGCGGGAGGGGTGTGTGAGTGGGAGATAGGAAGAAGGTAGGAAGGAGAGATGGAAAGCGAGTGAGGAGGCAAATGAACAGGATTTATACCCTCCTGGTCGGCTAAATTGATTATAGAAATCTTATCAGCATCTGATCTCCTGTGTCGGGGGTTTGGATGGGCGTGTGTTGGCCCCGGTCGCTCCGTCTCTCCAGGATTAGACAGACAGTGCACCATTAGGCCTTGAGCTGGGCTTGGGATACTCAGAGGACAGGCCTGAATTACCCTACCTGACTACATCTGCATCAACAGCACTGCATTGAGAATGGACCAGCATCGTTACAGGACTTCTAACAGTACATCTATACAGTGCCTTCCAGGCCCTAATCGTAACTATTCCATGTAATGAATGAACCTGTTCTCTCTATTCTAAATTCTCCACGTCTAGGGTCTATTTAAAGGAGGAAATGTTATAACAAATTAATATCAACTATGGCACAAACACAAAATAATAGGTGTGCAGCCTATACAAGCTATTCCAAAGGCAGAAGCGATCAGTCTAGGAAAAGAGATGGCTATGAATAATTTTCAGCCGAGAGCCTAGCTGAATGTAAACACTAGAACTAACAGCAGCAGTTTCTTATTAGATAAGCAGCAGATCCCCCAAGCATGGCAGAAGGCTCCTCTCACAGTTTATGTGCAAACACACTCGCGCGCAAACACACACACACACAAACACACATACACACACACACAAACACACACACACACACACACAAACACATAAACACACACACACACACACACACACAAACACAAACACACACACACACACATGTATGCTTTTGCACTGACACATCCACATGGGAAAATGCACACGCACACTCTGTCACACACATGCACACATACGCACATGCACGCACGCCCACACACACACACACACACACACAAACACACACACTCCTCTCTCTCCTCTCTGTCACATGGTCATACAGCCATCAGCCAGGGTCAAAGGCTCACTGACTGATCTTATTTTCCAGCTCGGAGGACTTGAGCCGAATACATTTGCGTTTTTTCATGTTGGGGGGTGTGAGTGTGTGTCTATGTAAATGTGTGTGAGAGGGATCTGAGTGAGAAAATGTGTGTGGATATGAGGTTCAGAGATTGTGTTATTGTATGTGGTCTCTTCTGAATGTGTGTGTGTGTGTATGCTAATGAGCGTGTGTATGTGTGTGTTACTGTTTAAACATATGAATGTGAGAGAGAATGTGTCTATAGGTGGAGGTATCTATCCCTAACTGTGTATCTGTGTGCATGAGTGAATGAGTCTATCCATCGATATGTGTGTGTGTGTAAGTGTGTGTGAGTGTGTGTGAGTGTGTGTGTGAGTGGGTGTGAGTGTTTCAGAAGCAGGAGTGGAACAGGGTTGTGGGAGGTGATGACAGGTCAGATGTGAGACCCTGACAGGCTCTCCATTCCATTCCATGCCCCCCCGCCCGGGGCTCGGCAGACCTCACATGGCTCAGGACGCCGCACAATTAAACATTTAAATGCTGGAGCTGTAAAGCAAATTGCTGGGATTCAGGAAGGATGTGTCTGGGGGAATGTCCCGGGACGGAATAACAGGGTCAGGGCCAGAGAGCCGGAGAGCCGGGTTCATCTCCACTTGAGCTTAGGAAAGGATTGGTTCTACTTTAGACTGTGATGGAAACACTGTGGCTATCTGACAGTGGAGGCTTCTGAGGGGAGAACGGCTCATAATAATGGTCGGAACGGAGCAAATGGAATGGCATCAAACACCTGGAAACCATTTGTTTGATGTATTTGATACCATTCCACTGATTGCGCTCCAGTCATTACTACGAGCCCGTCCTCCCCAATTAAGGTGCCACCAACCTCCTGTGCTATCTGACAGACAGGGAGATATGCTGAGAGGAGAGAGTTAAAGCCCACAGCTGTGTGTGATCTCGCTTTCATTTGTTTATTCACACTATAGAATGAGAGCCAGTGTCAGGGTAATAAAATGAGATGTCTCATGCATAGTTTAATGTTAGTAGGCTACTTCACATGGATGAGATATCTATGTTCCTCGCATTAAACAATTGCTAAATATTAATTTTTCCTAGTGTCACTTCCCAAGCAATTGACATTGTAATCAGAGCCTAATGGATTGCACTAATTTGTTATTTTACTAACCAAGCACTAAACACACAGTGTGTCTTAATTCATTCTCAGTGGTTACTTAGCGCAGAGTAATGGGAATCAAAGTATCATAATGATAATTTAAACATTAAACAGAACAATAGAAAGTTTAATAATGAACTCACTAAACCGCTGTATATTCCTGTTGGAGCCAGTTGAGTAAAAAACTAGGAACCTTTGTTCTAGTGACTAAGCCACCGTGTGACTAAACCAAAGAGACCGGGACACCACTAAGGCACTCGCCATGTGACACTTGGACCCGTTACAGGTTTTCTGAGTTGCAGCGGCTTATATAAGATGACGACATGCACAGGATATTTCAACCGTATTACCTTATTTGTAAGTATTGCACAGAGACGGATGTGTAACGTTAAAGCAATATCAAATATATAGCTTTGTTTGCAGCTTTATGTGGACCATTCACACGAGGGGTGTGCTGTGTGTGCAGCTTGGAAAGGAACCAAGTGGGCCCTGGCTGCAAAGGGAGTACTCATAAAGAGAGACAACTTTTCTTTCAATCTCAGTCCTTTTTTCTACTATTTTCCTGTCTAAGAACAGCTGCCCGTTTTATTCCCAAAGTTTTACTCCCTTTCCTGAACCCACTCTAGAGGCTCTGAGCCGGTGGGGATTCAGCCTGACACTTGGAAGCTTAAAATTTAATGAGACTTTTACTTCATAGTTCATCCACCTCACTGCTTTGTACTGTGGCGAGAGAGTGATTCTGCACCGTGATATCTTGACAGGCCCAATGAAATAAATTGGGTAGATAAACAAACATGGGAACGGACATGGAAATAACAGGCCATTCTAACATGACGTTGGCATCTAAAGAGAAGGGCTTATGTGATGACTTACCCGAAATAAAGACCTCGGTGCCTGGAGCGGCTGTCATCTCCGCAGAGTGGAGAGTGAGGGGGTTAGTGAAGCGTCATCAGGACATGTTTAACCTCTTCACCTTTCATATTAGAGGCTGAGAGTTTGGCACAGTGGCACGATGGCTGCTAATAAATCCACTGTAAGTTTTCCAGGGACTCTGAAGCTCCTGGAGTTCATGCAGCCATCTGAAGATGCTGAGGCTCTGCCGGAGCTATGGGTTCACACAGAATCCACCCTGATCAATACAACATATCTGGGAGAGCCAACAACAGGGCAGAGACACAGACTGATAGGATAGAACAGGAGAGTACAGAAAAGGACACAGACTAGGAGCTGCATTGGTATTGCACTCACACGCTCAATCCACAATTAACCACACTTCCATATGTGAGCACACTCCAGACGGCAGGACAGGACAGGAAAGAGGCTGGGGCTGCAGCATCCTCCCTCCGCCTAGCTCTCAGACAACTTAATACCCTCAGATTAGAAATTCCAACCCTCCCCAAGAACCTGGGAGCCTGAGCAGAAGAAGAAACACACCATGAGTTTCATTACCAAACCAGCTCGGCTTTTAATAGCTTTTTTAGTGCTGTGGAGTAAAATATTCACTGCTTACCACTGCTGCACATTTCTGTATTCCAGTCCCACATCCCTGCTCCCAGACTCGCCTAAAGTTATACCCCATAATAATGTTAATGTAATAGTAAAAGCTGGACAGACACCAAACAAGGCCATTCTACCGGTATGACTGGGCTGTGTAACCTTGTACTGACTCTCACGACAGGGTATGGGCTGTGGGTCTGGAGAGGAGATGAGGGGGAGGATGAGTGTGTGTGCTCTATTAGAGTGTTGTTTTACCTTCGCCCTACTACCTAGGAGTGCATGCACTTAATTGTTTAGTCATACAGTGCACTTAATGAGCAGGGGCCTAATGTGGTGCCGGTGGCGAGGAGAGGAGAGGCAGGCAGCTTTGTGAAGCTGTGCACTTATGGCCAGCCAGCCGTCAGGGGAAGAGGGGATGCTGAAAGAGACAGGGTTGAAAGTAGAGAGAGAGGGGGAAAAGATGAACAAAATCTACATTCATCTTCCACTCCACTGACTATCTTTTAGCATCTCTGGCAGCCTGCAAATCTCGCCTACATAAGCAGAGCCCAGCCCCGAGCCAGATTGTTGAGCCTGGAAACTCAACCCCCCAATACTGAATTCAGAGAGAAGAGGGAGAGGGAGGGAGGGAGGGAGGGAGGGAGGGGGAGAGAGGGGGAGAGAGAGAGAGAGAGAGAGTGAGAGAGAGAGAGAGAGAGAGAGAGAGAAGAGAGAGAGAGAAGAGAGAAGAGAGAGAGAAGAGAGAGAGAGAGAGAGAGAGATTTTTTAAAATACCTTAATTGGCCCAATAGTTACATCATTAAAAGCACTTTACTTAATTTGAACGGACCTAGAAAGTTAGAACCAAGCCTCCCTCCTTGTCCACAGTACATAGAAGACCCCTTACGCCCCACACCCCTACAAAGTCCCCCAGACGGTTCACCAACCCCCCATATATATGCTCCAGTGTGAGCCAAGCCCGCACCTGCCCCAGCAGCACATCACTGAGGTCCGTACACCCCACCCCCTGCATCTCATGGTCTTCCACACTGCCATTTTTGCCTGTCCCAACAGGTAGTTTACTTGGCAGACCCTTTGCCTGTTGGCTACGCGTTACCGAGGCAGAGAGAGAGAGAGAGAGAGAGAGAGAGAGAGAGAACCCTCCTCACCTCCCCAATGTGTAACTGGAAGCCAGGGAGTTAGCAGTAGCCCCACTGTGGCTAACTACACAACCCCCCTACAACATCCCGACAACCCCCCAGGCCTTAATAGCACAAACACAGCCCCCAACTAGCTCCCCAGCCCTGGCCCCGGCCCCACCGCCACTCGCTGCTATTATTGACTATCTCACATCAATTTCAGGGAGCCTCTTATCTCGCCCGACACACAACCTTTCTACACTGTCAAATCAGAGTAATATTTTGGCCTTTTATAGGGATCGATTGGGCAGTTTTGGGGGGAGGCAAGGTGGAGCGCAACAAAGGTCAAATGTAGCGCTAAATCATTTGAAGATTCTTAATGAATGGTGTGTGGCAGATGCACCTGCTGGTTTCATTATGAGAAGAGAGAGAGAGAGAGAGAGAGAGAGAGAGAGAGAGAGAGAGAGGAAGAGAGATATGGGCAGAGAAGATAAGAGAGAGATGAGCATCTGATAGTGTTTTGAGAGCCTTTTTTAGCTTTTGCTTTTCCGTGCGCTCTCTACTTCGCTCTCTATATCTCGGCTCTCTCTCTCTCTCCTCGCTTCTCTCTCTCCTCTCGTCTTTTTCCCTACTCTCTCTCTTTTCCCGCCCTCTCCCCTTCTCTCTCTCTCCTCTGCTCTCTCTCTCTCTCTCTCGTCTCTCCGCTCTCTTCTCTCTCTCTGTTTCTTGGTCTCCATCTGATCCTGGAGAAGAGATTTGAGTGCACCATTTTAACCAGCACGTTCACCAAGGTCAATACGTGCCTACTAGTGCCGATGCCAATATTAGCCCCTCCAATCTCAAATAATCATACGTCCCTAGTTTTGGAACCTTACAGTTGAGTGGCTGGACCAAGGTTAAACCCCACACTCTTAGAAAAAAAGAGTTCCAAAAACGGTTCTTCGGCTGGTTCCATAGGATAACCCTTTTTGTTCCAGGGAGATCCTTTTTTGGTTCCACGTAGAACCCTTTTGGGTTCCATGTAGAACCCTCTGTGGAAAGGGTTGTACATGGAACCCAAAATGGTCTTACCTGGAACCAAAAGTGGTTCTTCAAAGGATTCTCCTATTGGGATAGCCAAAGAACCCTTTTAGGTTCTAGATAGCACCTATTTTTCTAAGAGTGCAGGAAGAAAAAAAATATCCCAGTACTGTATATTGGAAAAATAGTGAACAAAGTATTTTTTATTAATGCACAGTATGCTTGCTTGCCCTAGGGGACATGTACATTATGTTAAATATGATGGAAGGTTTATGGTTGTATCTGAAAAGAGGACATTACCGATATAAATAGAACAACTTCATATGACTGTGTGGCCGTACTTATGCATGCAGACCGCAAACAACACAGACGCAATATCATCAATAAGACAAATGTCCAGTCATGTAGTATCTGGAAAGCTATAAAACTGTGAGCTTGATGTTCGATGAGAGGACCTTGCTAATATTGATGTTAACAACAGGCCTAATGGCAAATGAGCAGCGCATGCTGAACCATTAAACCATCCAATCACATTATCATGCATGACTTGTTTCAGACTTGAGAAGTGAACTCTAGTTCTTTAGTTCATTATCTAAACATACATATAGTATCTGATAGTGACTGTGTGGCATGTCATGTTGATGATGATGATGTTGACATATTAACTGCTGGAGGTCTTGCAGACAGAGGAGGGTTGGTTGGTTGGTTAAGTGTGCGGTCCCTCTCTCCTCAGAACGGCTCCGATTCTCTCCCCCCCCAGGGCGCGTCCTCCAGCCTGGTGGTGAAGTTTGCCGACACCGACAAGGAGCGCACCATCCGCCGCATGCAGCAAATGGTTGGCCAGTTTGGCATCTTCAACCCAGCCATTGCCCTGCCCTTCAGCACCTACAGCACCTACGCACACGCAGTGAGTTAACTAACACAACCCATTACCCCTCTTACCTCCAACACCCCCCAGGGCAGGGCCGTGAGTTATCTAACACAACCCCCAACCCTCCATACCCCTCTTACCCCCCAACACCCCCAGGGCAGGGCCGTGAGTTATCTAACACAACCCCCAACCCTCCATACCCCTCTTACCCCCCAACACCCCCCAGAGCAGGGCAGGGCACCATCCACACATGGCAGACCCCAGGCTCTTTGATGAACTCACCTGGCCCATGCTGCTCCCCGCTCTGCTCCCCTCTCCTCTCACCAGGGGCCAGAGATGACTCAGAATATTTCATAGGAATCTTATCTCCACACACACCTCTTTAGCCTGCATCCAGAGTTACCGCCGCTTAAAGGGAGCTGAAATGGGTTCAGTCCGACACGGATAAATACCTTAACCTTAGTCACAGCAGACTGCATAAATATACACACTATGTATATATTTATAAAATAATGACGTTCTTTCTTTATTTACTTATTTGTACGGACGGGCAGAATTTCTTTTTTCTTCTCTAAATGCCAGGATACATTTTTGAGGCTGCCCAGGTCTCGGGGGCTTCCCCATTTTCCTGATGTTCATATCACAGGCATGGGGACCAGTATGAAATGTGTAAATTGACGGTCCCAGAGTAATTGCGAGGCCATCTCTGTGCTCTCTCCAGTTAAACTCCTACCTTCATTACAATTCATGAAATGCAGCACATCCCCAGGAAATGTGGAGAAATGCAAATGTTTCAGGAGTGGTGGTCTGCTGGGAGAGCATTGTGTCCCGCTCAGGTTGGCCATGACTCTTATTTACTGTGGCAGAGCCCCACGCACCCCATCACACACACACACACACATATGCATGCATACACACATAGCTACACACTCTGTCACCAACTCTATGCCACACAACAACATGTGTCTTGTTTTTCCAGGCACTGCTGCAGCATGACAATGAGGTGGGTATATGCCAATCCATTGCTTAAGTTTTATGAATGATAAGTTTCTAGTCATGTTAGATATTTGATCATTATAGTTACATTTATTAGATATTAGTTACAGTCATTATTGTTATAGTTATTAGATATTAATTATTAGTTTCCGTTATTATAGTTATAGTTATAATAAGTAAAAATGCAGCTAGTTGTGTTTTATTCCACCCTACACATTTTATCTAATGAATTCCATTACTTAAACCATGCTTTCAGTTGGCACAGGAACAATGTTATTATTCAACAGTGTGGAGTTTCCACTCTGCAGTTTTGATTGAATACCACAGAAACCCTAGATTATTGCAGCATGTGACAGTCTTTCCTGTTTATTGGGTTGGAATGAACTGCAACAGGGTTATACACTTTAAATGTTTCTTTACTTTATAATAAACTACTACACCCTCCCCAAGAAGAAAACCCACAATGATACAGAATAACTTTATTTTAAAAGTATGTATTCCTCCATATGTTTTCCAGTATATATAACTAGCAGGGTATGGAATACAGACATCTACAGGGATCGTATATATACACAGTACAGTAAAATGCAAATTCAAAGAGCTGCTTCACAAATACAGCAGTGGATAGGATTATAGAGTTGAGCTGACAGCCTGTAAATTGGATTTTAGTCAAACCAGGGGAGGGGGGGTTGTGAACACAAATTGGAGGGATACAACACTGACAACATGTGCCAAAAATGAGAAATGTGCCGTTTTCAAGATAGACGCAGCACTGTTCTGACAGATGACATCCCATTTGTGATTTCACGAAACATAGGGAGAGAGAAGGAAGATATTCCTAGACCATTCCAAATGGCTGATAATAGTTGTTTTAAAGAAGCAGTGTAAATACACGATAAACCAGCTACCCATTTTCCCTGTCATCTGTTGCCTGTCAATACACATGGAGCATATTTGTACATGATTCGATTTGTTTTGTGTTGCTTGCTTCCTCTCATCTCAATCCTTGTGTATATTCCTGAGAACAGCCATTTCAGCTTGCTGTCTCAGAAATGCTACATGCCATGTCAGTGTGAGAAGGGAAGGCTTGGAGATGTGCGACACTAGATGCACAAACTCATTATTAGATTATTAGATTGAATGTGAGAAAAATGTATGACTTGAGAAAATAGTTGTTTTAACAGTGTGCAAATGGTAAAGTTATGTGTGGGTGAGGGGTAGGAGGCGCGTGAGTGTAGTACTCACATTGACAAACATCGCCCCCTGTTGGAACTAGTCAGAATATATATAGCTGATCCTTTCCAACACAACCCAACCCAACACAGATCAGGAAATTAGCAACTATAAAAACTCAATGTAAATTGAGAATGTGTTTTACATTAAATCCAGCTATTTCATAAAAGAGAGGACCTAACAACTGATAATGAACTGATTGGCCTGTCCTCTCGTCTTACCAAAACCACCAATCAGTTCATTGCACAAGCAGGAACTATGCACAGCCAATAAGGAGGAGGATGTTTTATATAATGCCTAATTAAAGGTTCCAAACATAATACAAGAGAGAAAACATTTATTTAGGTAAGGCTACTGTACAGATCTGGACATTTAATTTAAAATGACCTTATAAGTGGGACACCCTCCCAAACCAAAACACACACACACACCACAACACACATGCACGCACGCACACACGCATGCACACACACACACACACACACACACACACACACACACACACACACACACACACACACACACACACACACACACACACACACACACACACACACACACAGTAAAGTGCAGCAGGGATTAAACAAACACTATTAAAACCCCACTAAGGAGATACATGATGGTAACAAATGAAGCCATTAAGCACAGGCCAGGCAATTGCAGTGGACTCCATTGTTTTCAGGTTTTCTCTGCTGGAGTGCACACCAGTCTGCAGTTTCAGGCAATCTGCAGGTCCAAGACCTCAATAACCGGGTTCTTTCCCCCCCCCCCACACACACACACCATTCTCTCCTCCTCCTCAGTACCTGTGCAGGACTGGCTGGAAGGTTAGGTGCTGAGAGTTAGCAAGTCACAGAGTAGTGCTACAGAGATAATTGCCATGTGATAAAGAGGTGATTGCCTGCTGGAACCAGGGGAGAATAAAACCATCAGGTTGCAACAAAATAGCAGATGCCTGACAGTAAATGGATGCTGTAGCACGGGCAACTTGTTCCCTGCTTCTTTTCTTCTCCCTTCGTTTATTTTATTTTCTTCCTTTTTTTCACATTTCGTAGCGAGAAAAAGTTATGGCCATGATGATGACGACTCAGTTCAATGCAATTTAGCTCTTTGTCTGCCACAGACATTTTGCTATCTACTGCCGAGGATAAATATACTGTAGCAATGGCTTCTGAATATGGATGAACGTTGTAGAAAAAAGAAAAAGAAAATGACTCTGAATATCTCTGTCAACACTTCCAGTTGGTGGACCAAGGCTTTTTATCAGAGCCAGTTTGTGTTACCCACTCTCATTCCAACATAATTACAGGCCTGAGCTTCCAACTTGCTGCATTTTAATTCTGAAAAAGCATCACTGAATGCCATGTTGTTATGCATGACAGTATGGCGGCTGGCATGAAGGACTGCATTATCTATGCAATGCATGTAAAGTAACGGCGGCCTTCCACCCCACTCTGTTATTCTACCATCTAGGCCTGCTGCAGCTTGTATAGGCCACTGGCAAATGGATTGCAAGCTTATTCAAGTAAGCCCAAGCCCCAAGCTCCTATTGAAAGCAGGCAGAAGAACCTGAGAGGGGGACAAAAGCCAGTGACGGGTGTGACAGTATGCTCTAACACAGGGGCCAATGAGATCAGAGGCCCTCTACCCCAAATCTCCAACCCTAGTCTGATCTTAATGAGGGCATTAACACCATCCCTATCCTACACCAAGCACAGCTCTCACATTGACTTCCTCTCATTGTTTGTTTTCTTTTTTCTGTTGTTTGTGATTTGGTTTAGATGTCCTTTTCTGAACCCCTAAAATCTCAATTTATCTTATTCAAAGCAGAATGGATGATCCCCATTTGTCACATTGATACAATTATGCAAATGACAAAAGGAGTTAATAGATAGTGGTGGCAAGGCATGTGGCTAATGGATGAGGTGCCAGCGGCGCCCGTTTTGTGGCGGGACAGCCGCTTTCAGGTTAACTGACAGGGGCATTGAGGGAAAATAATTGGCTTTTCCTATCCAGGGACTCCACGCAAATACAGGGAGAGTGGCATCTTCTGCCTCAACAGCACAATATGGTCATTAGCATCAGAGCTAGCTATAGTGGCAGAGTGATTTCTGCTTAGCTGTGTCTGACTCGGGGGGGGGGGGGGAATAGGGAGCGATGGGATAGTCCCATCTTGATCATGTTTTTCCTCCACATAGCTGCATCCCTGATCATGAAGTACATGCCAGCATTGATTTCCCAGATAAACCCACTGGTCCAGAGGTTGCAAACACCATTGTACAATGATGGATTTTCTCTGGAATTAGGCCCTCTGTAGCTGCACTGCAGAGAGAAAACTGAGATGAGAAATACTAGGTGTGTATGTGGGTATATTCTAGGCAGTATTGGATAGAGAATGGGTTTAGCTGTGTGTGTGTTAATGCTAAGTGGTAGAGGGTGTCAGCCCAGTTCTTTATCAGTGTGTCCAGTGTAAATGGACTGCCATTACAGGTCGTTGCTAATGACACGCCAGTGGCACCGCAGCAAATTAAAAAGAGCTCAACGAGCGGAGCCACTGAGAGATGTCACTGTCACTGCCCCTCCACTTTACCTTACACAACCAGAGAGGGACACTCACAGAGAAGTTTGACCAAGGAAGATAAATGCAATTCAATTCAATTCTCCCAGGTCCCTAGAGACAGGAATAATATGCACATGTCAATCCGTTGATTTAAATGAGCCCAACAGACAGCTATTGAAACATTCCTACAGCTGCTGACAGCCCACTCACTGTGAGGATAGACAGATTCACTAAACATCGCTTTACAGACTTTTATTTTCTTCCCTTTCTATTATTCCCGTTCTACTTTCTGTTCACTTTCATGCACTATCCATCCATCAACTCCCATCTTTCCCTCCCTCTATTCTAACCTTCCTATGCTCATCTCTCCGCTCTCTCTCTCTCTCTCTCTCAATTCAATTTCAATTCAAATGGCTTTATTGGCATGGGAAACATATGTTTACATTGCCAAAGCAAGTGAAATAGATAATAAACAAAAGTGAAATAAACAATACAAAATTAACAGTAAACACTACACTCACAAAAGTTCCAAAAGAATAAAGACATTTCAAATGTCATATTATGTCTATATACAGTGTTGTAGCGATGTGCAAATAGTTAAAGTACAAAAGGGAAAATAAATAAACATAAATATGGGTTGTATTTACTCTCTCTCTCTCTCTCTCTCTCTCTCTCTCTCTCTCTCTCTCTCTCTCTCTCTCTCTCCCTGTCTCTTTCTCCATCCTTTCCTCTCACTCTTTTCTCTCTATCCTCTCGCTTTATTCAAATTATTTCTCACTGCCCAGCCCTCATTTCCCTGTCTTTCTCTATTCTCCCACCATCCATACTAACCTTTTTCCCTGTCTCTCCCGCCTGCTCCCCCAGCTCATGCAGCAACAGGCAGCCATCATGGCAGCGAGCCACGGAGGCTACCTGACTCCCAGCGTGGCCTTCCCCGCCACCCAGATTCACCAGATGGGGGCGCTCAACATCAATGGTCTCCCACACAACTCCATGACCCCGGTGTCGGCTGAATTTCATCAGGCGCTGGGTGAGCAATGGGTTTCATTCCCTTTGGGTGAGTGTTTGTGTGTGTTTATGTGAGTGTGGGGAGTTTCGGAAATGGGTGAGGGAAGAGGGAACTCAGACTGCAGCAAGGCCAAGAGAAAAGAGTAGATTTAGTGCCTGCCTACTACTGATAATCCCACATTTTAGAAAAAATACATCTGATGTGATTTGCATATTTCTGTTGTGTATGCAGATATATTTTGGTGCGATAAATCGAATCGGGAGCATAATAGATACGTTTACAGGTACAGGCACTCATTTCCCCTCCGTCACTGGTTGAATCAACGTTGTTTCCACGTCATTTCAATTAAATTACATTAAACCAACGTGGAATAGATGTTGAAATGACGTCTGTGCCCAGTGGGGATCTGCATGCAATTCTCTCTGTTTTCCATTACAAACGGCCCCATCATTCTATACAGACACATTAAAGGGAGCGCAGCAGAGGACTTTGAGATAGCTTCTGCATAACATTTGCTTATTCAGCAATACTTCATTTTTGTGAACCTGAGGAACCCACAAGATCTTCTCTCACAAAGCATGCATCGAAATGAATAATACACAAGTCTTTGTTGTGTTTATTTGTATTTTTTCCCGACATTGCAGTATTGTGACTTTGGTAACTGTATAACTGAATAACTGTATATCAATGAGGGAATCAACAATCAAGATGGTGCATCAGTCTGACATGACACATTTTAAAGAACCTTTACTTTCTACTGTGAAAATCAATATCACAGAATGGGTTCTGTCAGTGACCATCTCTCTCTCTCTCTCTCTCTCTCTCTCTCTCTCTCTCTCTCTCTCTCTCTCTCTCTCTCTCTCTCTCTCTCTCTCTCTCTCTCTCTCTCTCTCTCTCTTGCTCTCTCTCTCTCTCTCTCGCTCTCTTTCACACAATACCCCATAATGACAAAGCAAAAATATGTTTTTGGAAATTTTTGGTAATTTATTACAAATAAAAAACTGAAATATGACATTTACATAAGTATTCAGACCCTTTACTCAGTACTTTGTTGAAGCGCCTTTGGCAATGTTTACAGCCTCAAGTCTTCTTGGGTATGACGCTACAAGCTTGGCACAGCTGTATTTGGGGAGTTTCTCCCATTCTTCTCTGCAGATCCTCTCAAGCTCTGTCAGGTTGGATGGGGAGTGTTGCTGCACAGCTATTTTCAGGTCTCTTCAGAGATGTTCGATCGGGTTCAACTCCAGGCTCTGGCTGGGCCACTCAAGGACTTTCAGATACTTGTCCCGAAGCCACTCCTGTGTTCTCTTGGCTGTGTGCTTAGGGTTGTTGTCCTGTTGGAAGGTGAACCTTTGCCCCAGTGTGAGGTCCTGAGCGCTTTGGAGCAGGTTTTCATCAAGGATCTCTCTGTACTTTGCTCCGTTCATCTTTGCCTCAATCCTGACTAGTCTCCCAGTCCCTGCCGTTGAAAAACATCCCCACAGCATGATGCTGCCACCACCATGCTTCACCGTAGGGATGGTGCTAGGTTTCCTCCAGACGTGACGCTTGGCATTCAGGCTAAAGAGCAATCTTGGTTTCATCAGTCCAGAGAATCTTGTTTCTCATGGTTTGAGAGTCTTTAGGTCCCTTTTGGCAAACTCCAAGTGGGCTGTCATGTGCCTTTTACTGAGGAGTGGCTTCCGTCTGGCCACTACCATAAAGGCCTGATTGGTGGAGTGCTGCAGAGATGGTGTCCTTCTGGAAGGTTCTCCATCTCACAGAGGAACTCTAGAGCTTGCAGAGTGACCATCAGGTCATTGGTCACCTCCTGACCAAGGCCTCTCCCCCGATGGTCAGTTGGCCTGGCGGCCAGCTCATTTAAGATGTGGGCACTGTGTTCTTGGGACCTCAACGCTGCAGAAATGTTGGTACCCTTCCCCAGATCTGTGCCTCGACACATCCTGTCTCGGAGCTCTACTGACAATTCCTTCGACCTCATGGCTTGGTTTTTGCTCTGACATGCACTGTCAACTGTGGGACCTTATATAGACAGGAGTGTGCCTTTCCAAATCATGTCCAATCAATTGAATTTACCACAGATGGACTCCAATCAAGTTGTAGAAACATCTCAAGGATGATCAATGGAAACAAGATGCACCTGAGCTCAATTTTGAGTCTCATAGCAAAGTGTAAGGGTTGGGGTGAGGTGTGACCCAGGTGCGGTGCAGGATATACAGTAGGCAGTAGGCAGAGATGGTGAAACAAGGATCTTTACTGGTGGTCCCGAAGTCAGAATACAAAATAACGAACTTATCACGATAAAAGAAAGGCGGAGCAAATAACTCTCCAAAAACCGGCTGACAGCCAAAATACGAAATACTACCTACGACTGAAACAAATAACGAAACAGGGAGAACACTTCTCAAGTATCTGTTTATAGGTCTCCGATCAGACACTGAGTAGTACTGCTGGACATAGAGAAACTAACAGAGAAAACTGAGCAAGGGAACACAGGGAAGTGTGGGCATAAATACACAGGTGAACAGGTAGACACAGGTGACACCAATAGGATACTGATTAGTCCAGACTGTGAGTGAGGAGGTGCCTAAGGTTGTCGGAGGGGTGGGTCGCTCCGGAACTGCGACCCCCTCCTGTAACAGCAAAGGGGCTGAATACTTATGTAAATAAGGTATTTCTGTTTTTTATTTTTAATACATTTTCAAACATTTCTAAAAACCTGTTTTTGCTTTGTCATTATAGGGTATTGTATGTAAATTGCTGAGGATTTTTATTTATTTAATACATTTTAGAATAAGGCTGTAACATAACAAAATATGGAAAAAGTCAAGGGGTCTGATTACTTTCCCGAAGGCACTGTATATATGCACTCAAGTTAAGCGTTGTCGTTGGAGGAGGCTGGAGAGGGTCTATTTGTCAAATATTCACAGTGAAATTTTTTGTGCAAAGTGGGCACTTTTTTTACACACGGATAATCAATCAAAGACAGTGATTAAAAGTGCTTCTTCTCTGTTGATAATACAGGACAGAATTATACTGCATCGTATGTGTTGCGTTTGACTGCAGTATAATCCTACTGTGATGAAAGACCAAGAGACAGGACCACTGCATGTACTTTATATGCACATATTGTATGGACTATGTGTGCAGTAAATACACAATACTGATTTGAAATATACAGAAGTGCATAGTCAATGCCAGGATATATAGAAATATATAATTTCATATAAATGTAACCTATTCAAAGGGCCTCATGATACTGCATCACCTTGTACGAGAGAGCAATCCTTTATATGATATTCATAACAAAAACAGGCTTTTGTGGGGGGGTTGGAATCAATGGCGTATCAATGCAAGGAGCTTAATGAATGGGCCTGTGGTATTGAAAAGAGCTCACCATGGTGTGTGTTCTGGAACCCTAGTGTGTGTTCTGGAACCCTGGTGTGTGTTCTGGAACCCTAGTGTGTGTTCTGGGACCCTGGTGTGTGTTCTGGAACCCTAGTGTGTGTTCTGGAACCCTAGTGTGTGTTCTGGAACCCTGGTGTGTGTTCTGGAACCCTAGTGTGTGTTCTGGAACCCTGGTGTGTGTTCTGGAACCCTAGTGTGTGTTCTGGGACCCTGGTGTGTGTTCTGGAACCCTAGTGTGTGTTCTGGGACCCTGGTGTGTGTTCTAGAGTTGGACACGCTTCAGTGTAAGCTACAGTCTGTTGATTACCTTATTATTGAATCCAATGCATTATTAATCCCTGCAAGAGCGCATGGCTTTTCTTGAATTTCCAAAGACTACAATAAATATGAAATACATGTTTATTTCATTGATTAATTCATTGGCGTCTGTGCTGGTAGGCAGCAGACTGGTGTATGTTTACAGCAACCTCCCCTTTCACACATCCAACAGCCCATTACTTATTTAGAGTTCATTGAAGGAACACATAACATTACTGGCAAGGCTGTCTGTTTAAGGGGGCTGAGCGTTTCTACAGCCATTCAGAGACTTTGGGACTCATGCTCGTCCCATGTAGCTCAGTTGGTAGAGCATGGCGCTTGCAATGCCAGGGTTGTGGGTTTGATTCCCACGGGGGGCCAGTATGAAAAAAAAAATGCACTCACTAACTGTAAGTCGCTCTGGATAAGAGCGTCTGCTAAATGAGTAAAATGTAATGCGCTAAATAAGTGGAATAATTCATCGTAACGTCAAAGACATGCTTTTGTGTTCTTTAGTGATGCTGACCCACTGGGAGTGGTTTAAATGTATGCATAAAGTTGTCTCATGGACTCTCCATATCTTGACACAATGCATTGCCACTATATTTAGATATGTCCCAAAAGTCAGCAGTGCCAAATATGTGGCCTAGTCATCAACTATAGAAAAGTGTGAGCCTCTATCTTGATAACCTTAGCCTAAATCTGGAGAAATGCATACCATATCAGTGGCTGATGACAGGTGCCTCACTAAATCCCACAATGCAGTGCCTGCATTTCCATAGACCACAAACAGTGCCGTAAAGATTACCATTCAAAGCCTGCCTGATCTTCAGGTAAACGTGGAGCATTATCCTCTTTTGTAATGATCTGAATCACCTCTGCGCCCACCTACCTACCATTCTGCCATAAAAACACAACAACATCGATAAAGCTTGTGTAGGACAGCCAAAAAAGTTTAGAGAGCCTCAAAGGTTAAAACCTTTTACTGCTGTGGGCTAAATCAGTGTCACACAAAGTGATTATTGGTAGTCTTAAACAAATCTACTTTGAAACAAAAGTATACACCTCACACACATGGTTATGGGCTTAAAATAAAGAAGACACCTGTACCATGTCAGATATAGAGTTGAAATGTATTCCATTTTCAGTTTGCATCCCAATATTACACTTTATATACATAACAGAAGACTGAAATGTAACATCTTCGTATTTCTTTATTTTATTAATTATGAAATTATGAAAAATATTAATAACATTCCACCCATGACGCCAAAGAGGCCGCTTTTGGTCATTGTCTGCAGGAAAGGGCTACGGGGTGTTCTCTGAAAACAATGAAACATCCATTTGATCAACAGATGTAAAGCATTTAAGCTTGATGGCGCATAAGCAGCCGGCCAGATGGTTGACTTGATTAAAGCATGTGTCCTTACAATGATACATGATGATCCTTTTTGAAAATAATGTTCAGCAGGAGCACTTCCTGAGCTACAAAATAAATCAAAATGAAGCGGTAAAAAAATATGGACCGATCCCAGGGGATAATCATATGAGCTGGAAGTGTATAATCAAAGTCACATAATGTTACGTTCCAGAGCGCTGCTCTACATGGGCTGAATGCATACGTTACATATAGGGCCCTGCTTAACTGCACTCCCATTCAATTCAGCCCTAATTGTGTCATTGATGAAAGTGGGTTTAGATTGGGGTCAAAAACATGATGCAGGACGATTCCACATACTTACTAAAGCCACAGCTGAAGCTAATGAGCTGTTTGACATAGTGTTTGTGATCCCCTGAAGGGCTCTGAGCAGCACTACCCTCAGTGGGAACGCCTGCCTGACTGGGCTGCCTGCCTGCCTGAGCTCAGGCCTGCCTCACCTTGGGTTGCTGTGTGTCACATTAGCTATGGGATTCCAGCTCAGACAGAATCCCCCCTTTGGCACAAGCCCCATTTATCCTCCCAGGGTTGCTGCATATAGACCACTATACTGAATCACATTTTATAAAATATCTACCATATAAAGTCTCACCATCATCTAAAATAGAGCTCGTTTTTTTAGGCTGGACTTCATCACATTGCCATGGGTAGGATTTTAATTACCCAAAATAATGTTTAGTAGCAACATTTTGTAGATCTCTTGCAATCTTAATCTATACCATGACCTTTTTACATTGACGTTTGAACAACCAGAATATTTTGACCGCAGTTTGCCCTCCGAGTATATACGAGTGCACCTAGTTTTAAAAATCAACTAAATGAAAACATCTGTTATGAATGCTTATTTCTTGCTTCACTGAGAGACTGTCCTTGTGTACATAATGACTGTGGTCCTCTCCAATATGGGTCCAGTGCTCCTTGTTGATTTTATTGTATAATTAGCATTATACATACTTTTGTTGCATATGGCTGGTCTCTTTCTCAGTGCAATCATAATAGGGTGTAAATCTACCATTTTCCCAAAGAACAGACTGCAATAATGTAAATGTAAATGTAATTACGTTTTCATAACATAAAACCAGGTGGAATATGTAGTAGACTTAAATTCATGGCATAATAACCGTAGAAAGCTGACAGGTAAGACAGAGTTGTGTAATATAAGCAATCTCTTGACCCACAGCATCCTATTACCCATTCTGGAGCGCAAAACAACATGTCATTATTATGGGCCGATGCATTCAGTAAACAGGCATATGTATATTCATATGCTTGTGTGTGCTTTGTAAACACGCTATGAATATGATTTTCACAACGCGAGGCTATATGTCCACTGGAGTAAAAAAATGAAATGTCTTGTTATGTATGGCACCATATGGAGTACAATCTTTCTCATACTCGAGCTAGAAAGACATTTACTGAGGCCTGCTCCTAATATTTGAGCAGTAAGTTATGGGATGATATGGGTGTGTGAACAAAAGTAATATGAGGCTAAATGAAATCATGTTCTCAGTATATTCTTCACAATCCCACTTGTCCATAGAGAAGTACCTATTGTATACCAACATTTTTGAGCAGTTTCACCCCCTTATCTCTCTCAGAGATATACACTGAGTGTACAAAACATTAGGAACACCATCCTAATATTGAGTTTTACCCCCCCCCCCCCCCCCCCCCCCCCCCCCCTGCCACCCACCCCTTTTGCCCTCAGAACAGCCTCAATTTGTCAGGGCATGGACTCTACAGGTGTCGAAAGCGTTCCACAGGGATGCTGGCCCATGTTGACTCCAATGCTTCCCACAGTTGTGTCAAGTTGGCTGGATGTCCTTTGGGTGGTGGACCATTCTTGATACACACGGGAAACTGTTGAGAGTGAAAAACCCAGCAGTGTTGCAGTTCTTGACACATTCAAACCAGTGCGCCTGGCACCTACTACCATACCCCGTTCAAAGGCACTTAAATATTTTGTCTTGCCCATTCACCCTCTGAATGGCACACATGCACAATCCATGTCTCATTTGCCTCAAGGCTTAAACATCCTTCTTTAACCTGTCTCCTCCCCTTCATCTTTCATCTACACTGATTGAAGTGGATTTAACAGGTGACATCAATAAGGGATCATAGCTTTCTCCTGGATTCTCCTGGTCAGTCTATGTCATGGAAATATGTTTTGTACACTCAGTGTATTGGTGTCAATATAGGTGTCAATAGGTGTCAATATATTGATGTTAATAGAGGGGTTATCTCTCTCAGAGATATATATTGGTGTCAATGGAAGGCCCAAAATATTGTCAAAGACTCCAGCCACCCAAGTCATAGACTGTTCTCTCTGCTACCGCATGACAAGCGGTGCCGATGCACCAAGTCTGGAACCAACAGGACCCTGAACAGCTTCTACCCCTAAGCCATAAGACTGCTAAATAGTTAGTTAAATAGTTAACCAAATAGCTACCTGGAGTATCTGCATTGACCCTTTTTGCACTAACTTTTTTGACTCATCACATACGTTGCTGCTACTGTGGACTATCTGTCACTTTATTTCTAGTTATATGTAATATAATAATAATAATAATAATATGCCATTTAGCAGACGCTTTTATCCAAAGCGACTTACAGTCATGCGTGCATACATTTAATTTTTTTTGTGTATGGGTGGTCCCAGGGTTCGAACCCACTACCTTGGCGTTACAAGCGCCGTGCTCTACCAGCTGAGCTACAGAGGACCACATATGTAAATATCTACCTCAATTACCTCGTACCCCTGCACATCGACTCAGTACTGGTACCCCTTGTAAATAACCAAGTTATCGTTACTCATTGTGTATCTATTATTACTTTTATTATTACGTGTTTAACTTTTTTATTATTTCTCTATTGTCTCTGTCTCTGCATTGTTGGGAAGGGCCTGTAAGTAAGCATTTCACTGTTAGT